GTCAAACTACAATGACAATACTCCAGAAACATACAATCAGTTTAAGCCATATTTGTTCTGCAATCTTTGTCATTTTCGATATTTCATGCAATGTTAGCCATATAATTAACTGGACTCATTCAATTTTTGTGGCTCGAATGTATCTCATAAAGCTCAACAACTTGCAGCGTCCTGGAGTTAGTTGACATACACTTTGTTTAATCTGGATGTTTTCGGAGCCTTACTACTCGATGCTAATGGCCATAAGTATGTCAAATATACTGAATAAACTACATCCCGAAAATAAATCCGGCGAGTTTAACGATGTTGTTGGATGATATACTGCTTTTTTGTACTTAAGGTTTATATATATTCACTGAGACTAGCCGAATATATAATGCGATCACACCAAGTATTTAACATTTTTGGTGTACGACGTTTTTGGAAACCTCATATTACAGCATACCACTATGCAGAAGTGAGCTATTCGCAGAATAAAGATATTGAGTTCAAAAGTCCTTTATTATTTCCTGGATCTTAGTACCATTGCCACAGGTTTATAAATTTCACTAATCTATCTACAGTTACTTCGTTTGCAGCGTCCAAACTACAACTCGTTAACATGTTCCAGGAAAAGTCTCCCGAGCCAAAAACGTGTGGAGGCCCGTCGATCTGACTCCCTTTTCAGATTGTATTGATGTTTGCTATCTCTGACTCTCGTATATCATCGTCGACTTAAATCGCGTTATCCAATAACGGAAATAAATAAGTCGAATAACGAGAACTGACTTGAGAATACATATATTTCGTAAATGAAGCGAATGAAGCATAGCAAAGCAATTTTGACACGTATGGAAGACGGCTGGGAAGCCAACTCCATTTTAATTAAGCGTTATTCCATATTTATAGTCAGACAAAATAAGCTACAGACATACAATGAGTCATGGGACATGAAATGTACACACATATACGCTCATGTGAAAATAGTCAAGGCTAATAAGCGAATAATTGACAAGGTCAAAATATGGCTCAAGTAAAATGAATAAAATAGGATGTCCGGAAGTTAGAATAAGGTATTTGGGCTTGCCATAATAACTGATACTACAAACGCAATGAACAATGGAGAGTATGTTCTAAAACATACACGCCTCGATCAGCCAAAATAAAGACAGCTCTGAGCAGATCCGATTCTCGTTACCATAGAATTCATGTTTTTCTCGATATTATTAGATACGGGACTCGCTTAGAACTGCTTACCACATCCGACATAACACTACTAAGCATGTAGTGCATCTGCGGTATTGCTAAACATGGAATGTGAAAAAACATTTTGAAATATAGTCAAGGGTATACAAAGTCACGATCAGGGGGATTACGGAAAAAGGATTAATTTATTTGACAACATGTACATCACTTGATTTATTGAGACTTGACTGGATAATTAGACTGAAGTTAACAGAACTTGTCAAAAACACTATCTGGAACAACGTCAGTAAACCATAAGAGGAAGAGGAAAACTCAATGTAGTCATTATTAAAAATATATAAATAGGGGTTTGTTGAAGGACTGACAGATTTCAATCAATGGAAAGCTACTTGTATGCTTCGTTCAGATTCGAAGCTGCCGTTTTGATCTTAAAGATCTGAACCATGTGATGCCTACACAACGGCTGAACAAGAACTCGAACGGCTTCAAGAATCGAATGTTAATGAAATGGTGAACGTCTCAGTAGTGAAGAATACCGATCGCGCGTTCACTTCTATGCCGATTACTCAACCGAGCTAAACGAAGCTCAAGACACTCGTCAGCATCTCTTACTGCTATAAACTAGTGAGTATTGAAGTGAGTGTAGTTTCTGAGAACCAATTAGGGGCTAATATAAAATACATATTCTTATTATACAACTAATCCGCAAGTAGATTACATATAACTTCTATTAGAACTTTTGCTGAGACTATCAGTCCATTATTTTAAGATTTACGCTAATTCTTCCATGCTCATTCTCCTAATTGCAGTTACCCACAGTCACAACCACAATCCGGCTTGATCGTACACAATCGTTATTTTGTGTTTTGTGACACGATGTAGTTTAGTGATCCTCAAAATAATATCAACTCAAGTTTTCTATAATCTAATCATATCACGATATTTCTTCTCAGACTTTATTCAATTCGTTGTTTAATAGCTAGAATGGTAGAATCTAATCAACACTGAAGACTAGATTATCAGAAAGTTGGTTGCTGTTCACTGATCACATAGCGTACTCATTTGATAATTCTATAATGAACGACGTAACGATGAATTAAAAAAACAACCCTTTAAATATATTTCGGATGACTAAAATGCGTTAGATGAGTTTTATATTCTCTTTCGCTGATTTTTGTTATTATAGATTGTTGTTTGATTGTGTCGGCTTGTTGCCGTTTTTCGGTTTGGAAACATATTTACGTTCTAATCTGAATAATCACGTACTTTTGTTCTGAGTTGTATTGAAGTCATGTTGAGTAGATAATTTGAATGAATCTAGTGTAGATATTCGTCTTAAAGAAATTACCGTCCGATTTGTGCAAGCGAAAAACGTCTAACCACCGCAACAAAAGCACAAACATAATTCATTGGAAGGCCAACATAAACAGTTTCGTCTTAACTTTGGGAAGCACTGAAATATTTGAATGAGGTGATATTATTATTAATGACAACTAAGTGTCATGATAATATGAGAATTAATTTCGATTAGTTGTCCTCTTTAAACACCGAATTTCAGAAATGAAGTATTTCAGAATTACATAATACTAACTAACTGAATGTTGAACATAAGGAAGAAACCTATTTATCCGTCGCAAACATTCATCAGTTATAGCCCGAATGTATACATATGCTGATATGTCTGAGAATTTGAGATGACGATTCCATAGACGTCTTCGGAATGAACATATGATTTATTCAAGTGTTCAAATTACAATAAAACATTCAACTAAATGAATCATAGCCAACATTTTCTCATTTTGAGCACACCAATCGCTATTAATGTCTCCGATGATGTTAACGACCTACGCTCCTTCGTCAAGCAAAATAAATGAACTGGTCGATGCACATGGGAGCGACTAGACTGATGGTTATGTGATGCATAGATTCGTGAAGCAGTTTTCAGTTTGTCAAATCTAATCTCATGTTTTGAAATGGACATGTGACTTATTCGAATGTTCTTATTAAAGCGTTATAGACTAGTTGATCAATCACTTTGATAATGATGATCATATGAACCTCAAGGATCTTTGAAATCATAAGGCAATGAGCAGCGAAACTACAGATTAATAACGGATGGCATAGATCGCAAATATATAAGCAGATCCAACAAATTTGAGGCAGAGGGGCGAATGTGTGTGCGAGCCAATACAGAGGCAAATATATAGTAAAATCACACGAAGACACAGCGAGGCAAAGCAAAGTTTGATGATATAAGTCGAGTTCATATATACATGAGGAAGAGAATGAATCATCGAGCGAATGGTAAGCGATAAACATTTTAGCCAGTGTAAGTCATGTGTTCTATTGAGGATGATAGTGTGGTGTGTGCTACTTATATCAAGATAAGTAGTATATGATGTAACTCGTGAACAAAATGTCTGACAACAGAGATACAAGCGGATCGAAGCGTAAAGAATGGGAACAGAATGCAATTTGTATGAAAATGCAAGAACATTGAAGTGTCAGTCGTATAACAAAATTGGTGTACATTTTGCAAATTAAGCATTTACTTGATGATTGTCACATTTAATTAACAAAACCTGTAATTCTGTGTTAATAACATTTAATTGCTCCCTACTGGTGTTCTTGTTAACTACAACAGTACAAAGAAATAGATGAATCGTTACCATTTAAATAACGTTGTCTGATAATAATTAAATGAAAGGGTTTAACTGAAATTAACCATAATCGAAATCGGTTTTAGGACATTTCCTATACTGTGAGCAGTTTTAGAAGTAAAAGAAATTTTTTACCTGTGCATTTATCGCTTCTTAATCAGAAAACCATTGATTGAGGACATAGACGAACTACTTTTACTTGTTTTATGATAACTTAGGCTGAATTGTATGTGTAGATTAGATAACGAAAACCAAGAATGTCACATTTCACGTCATAAATTCTCACCATGTCACCTAAACAATTTTCGTCCAAAATGCAGATCTTGATGACTGAAATATTTCAACGATTTTGACACTTCGTCGTAAAGAAAGTGGTGTGATCATGGAAATATTAGGTTCATAATGTAGTCTGATTATCTTAGATATTATAATCCTACTACTAAAATACATTGGAGAAGACCTGTCTTTTATGACAACGTCACGCAGAAGTTCACTTGGATCTCATAAATATTGTACTCGGTACGTAAAGTAGAATAATGGTAAACCATAACCTATCTAAGATAGATTGAATGATCAGTTAACTTAGACAGGCTTTTCCAATCTGACTATCCAGATTTTATATTCTGAAGACGATTCTTAATCAAGTTTATGTTAGCAGCATGAAGTAAATGTTTTCGATCATGAATGCGTGAACCATTTCGCTTTCGTAGGTATAATATGTGGTTGTTCCCTCAGTTCACTATGTCACATTGAACGAGAGGGATAGGAAAATATATTTCTTGCTTACTACGATTATGACAGCAGCCCTGGGAGTGTTTTATTACCAGCTGGAGGACAACCAACATCTCCAGCTTGTAAAGTTCATGACCAACGATTGTTGCCACAACACAAACACCTATATGGATACAGATTTAACTCTGGGTACAAGTGAGGGTTAAGCAATCCAACCGATTTTAAGTGACACATTTATTCTTTGGTTGTCGATTATCAGGTGATGACTTGTTGAACATGAAAAACAAGTCATTCTTACAAGATGGGATAATATAACTGGCGATTACGTTCAATTCAATGGTCTTGTCTACATAACTCAAATTAAGGGATGTATTATGACTAAGCCTTCTTCAGTGTGAAGCGATGTATGACTGTATCTTACAGATGATACTTAATGAAGAATGTCGAATGTCCACTACATGCGACAATATGAATGATGTAATTTGTGAACTTTGTCTTTCTTTAGGCGGTTCTGATAAAACAGCTCAATGGTAACGTCTTGAACTGTGAAGCTAGGTGACACGGGCTTGATTCCTACAGGGAGCATCAATTTTTTTTAGATTGCAGTACCAACTATCGATTACCTTTTGCCCACACTGTGGAAGTGTACTTATCAAGATGCTTTAATAGGAGATTAGTTTAGCAGTAGTACTAACGACCTGAGAGTGTGACTGGTAGACCTTAAGGAACAACTGGACCAGGCTTCTTAGGCTAATGGTTGCACGTAGGGTTTTGCAATTAGACCAGGGTCTCAAACCAAATGATTGTACGTGACACCATAATTCTTATAAGTTGTTAAGTCAATGTAATTTTGTCACTAAATTCTTTATTATGCATTGTGAAGGTAAAAAATATCGAGATTGCTTTGTAAGTACTTCTCAACGGCGAGGTAAATTAGCCTTACAATTTCCCCTACCTAATTAATGTCAATGATAATTTAATTAGAATGTAAGATAATGGCAACAGTTGATGTTTTATGATAAACAGTATTCACTTGACATTGATTGCTGAATTCAGATTATTTACAATGGATGTAAACTAAGACAAATCTAAATTCTCTTGTTTCAGTTCATACAACGGCACGGATTCAGTAGGCCTCGAGTAGCTTCTGCCAACTTGCGTCACTTGTAGTGTAGATGATGTATCTGTCTATTAGACAAAGGACGAGTTTACTGCGCAGCAGTTCGCTCCGTCCTACTTTGTGTGACACATGGTCGTTAGGAATGCAGAATATTCGTAGGTTACTAATATCGGATCATAGGTTTCTTCGAGGCATTGCTCGTGTATTTTGGGATCATCAGGTAAGTAAAACCTGGATTAGGAATAGAGTATTAGGTTGAGATAGAAAATTGATTGATGAGGTCGTAAATCTTCATCCACTGATGTGGTTGGGACGTGTGTTACGTATGTACAACTACTGCCTACCTCTGCGAACGATGTTTTATGGTGCAAGAGTAAGCTGGAGGTTCGTCAGTGGCGGCCAAACCAAAATATGGCATCAGCCCATGAAGTTAGTGACAATTGAACTTAGCCATGTTATTAGGTACAGACTACTTCGTTGAGGTCCGCATAATTATCATAACCAATGATAAGAAACTTCGAATAAAATGGCCTAAAATCGTTTGCATTGACGCAGGTGCATCCATTGCTTGTCTTCCCCCAAATTCTGAGGTTCGGAATTCCTCAAAACGTTTTTGTTTTTATTTAATTGGTTCGTATTTTTCTTCAACTATACCTATGATTCCTGATCTTTTCAATTACCGTTCATACTGTTACTATCCCTTCTATTCTGGGATTCGGACTGAAAATTTTATCCCTTTGTGCTGATGGAGTATAACAAGTTGAATCGATGCACATACGTACCAGGTTCTATATTGTGACTAACTGGTTGATAATATTTAGGAAATTCACATATGTGATTAAACAGTTTCACGTTCTCAAAAGTTTGCATACTTTTCATCTTACACAACATGATAATACTGTCATTACGAATAAGGGCAACATTATTAATAATCAGAGATGGGAAGTGGCTAGGAGTGGGATCCATGACGCACGAATCTATTTTGACGTGCATTAATTGCCTATTTTGGACTCGTCAGCTTGATGTGCCTGCATCTCACAGTTGATGATCACTCTGGGACTCAAATCTGAGATGCAGGTATATCCAGCTGATGAGTCACAAATAGGGAGAAACGCGAGTCAAACTGAATTTCACGGCTAGCCACTATCGATCTTTGTTTATAACTGTTCTAATAGTTCGTTTATAGCTTCCATAGAATGGTGATAAAATAGATCGATTAAAAACTTTGAATAAATCTACTCCGTTTAAAAAACTGAGCTAATATTATGAACAAGATCCATTATTGAATGTCATTTAAATAGCTTAGAATATGGATAATTTCTTTAAAATGTCTCGCTTTTATTTATTTGAACACATTAATATTAGTACAAAGGGGCACCGAATAAATATACGCCACACGGGTCACTTGAATTTTGTATGGGATGATACTACCTGGTTGCTGAAACCAAAACAGGTGGTTTTCTTGGGGGTTCACACCAGTAGCCTTCGACCTAAAGGTTTGATCTACAAGGCAGTGGACCAACGTAAAGAGATGCAGTCTCATGGTAGCAGGTGGTTTGAGATGAGGATTTTTCATTTCTCCTCGGCGGACTTTTTGTGTCCACCATCCTGGTTAAAGCGCCAGACATTATCTTTTCGTGTTGTCAGTTTTGTAATCAACATCCCAATCACTAGAAGGCAGTGAGTAGGGCTTCGCTAGCAGTGGCTGTATAAAAGCGACCATGTAAAGCATTTCAAGGGGGAGAGTTGACTTGTTTCACCCTTGGCCGTATCAGGGCATTTGGGGGCCAGAAGGACCAATTAAAGAATGTCGTTGAAATAGCTTGGAGTGTGAATAACTTCTTTAAAATATCTCGCTTATTAGTTTATACGACTGATACTTAATATATTGAATTCATTTCAGTATGTTAGTTAGTAAATTTAAGTAACTTTCTTTGTACTTTTATTATATCATCACATGGGTCTACATCTGGATTACTGTATTTTAAATTGTGTTTTATAGAACACTTATTGACAAAGCAACTGTAATTGTTCTATTAAGTTATAGATGTTTCCATTAAATACATAATTTGTAAGTACTTAGTTTGTCGTCATTACGTTTATAAGTACAAAATTATATATACAATGATTAATAATAGCACATTTATTTGTTCTACACAAACTGGAGTATGTACTGATGATATTGTTCAGAAGAACAATGACTGTTCCGCAATCAAACCATCCAGTTCAGAGAATAAAACCTTAATCATCCACATGAGCTACAAATATTCTCCATCCATATCAGTGTAGTTACCATTGAGTTTAGTAAATGTTTTTTCTCTTCAAGATTCATTCACTCGAACGGACCAGGGTCATCTTATTGACTGAACTGTTTAAATAAAGAAATAAGCAAATCAACAGGTTTTAAAATAGGCTTTAGAATGATAAAATATTTCGGTTTACAGTTATTCATTTAATTTGTTTGTTCGTTCAATGATCATCCTAGTCCCATAGTAGGATGATACTACCGTCCAGTACTTCCGGGTTTTCCATGGTGGTGTCTAGCTTCGATTTGACTCATGAATTCAATTACTAAATTACTACAATCTCGACAAAACCCCCCTATGGTTTTTTTTGTTTTAGGAAACATGAATGGAATAAACATGGTGTTTGTGCAGCAAGTGATGATTCATTTATATTAAATGAATTGGATTATTTCAATGTTTCACTTGGGATAAAATTGAAGATGAATTTAATGAGGTAATATCTTACGTCAACATTATTGGGTTTTTTTTGTATATCAACGTTTGGTGTACAATCATTATTTTTTTTGTTAATGTATATGACTAGATGATGATGATTATGATGATGATGAGGAGGAGGAGGAGGAGACTACTGGTCGAAGTCCGCTTTATGGCTCGCTAACGAACTGCCGAATAATGATCCATGAATATGAATTCTTCATTTGATCTCATCTATTCTACATAAGCTGATCCATTTTGGGCGACGGAGGTAATAAAAGCCAAATACAAATTAACTTGAACGAATTTGTTTCAAATACTCGTTTACTCAGGCAGACGTGAAGATGAGAGATGGAGAAGGTCGACTCCCCAACCTCATGAGTAATAGGTGAAGAAGATACAAGTATACGGACAGATGCTCACTAGAATGGATGATCAAGGTTGCAAGTGAGTAGTTGGCTAGAGCAAACACACGGCTGATAGGACAGATAGGAGGATTGGAATAATTCATCTGTTTCAAATTTGAAAAATGACATATAAGAGTCCTGCCTGTTGACTCCAGAACACTAGTCCAAGACTCCGCGACATCATTTGTTTCAAACATACTGGGTTTATATATAAACCAAACAGAATGCATCACACCCTAGAATAGAAAGTAACATATGTACAAGATTTAGCCAAAAGTGGCTTTGGATGTGGAAGACTGTAAATCGTAGACTTGGAATAACTCATGAACAGTGAATCGTTTAACAATAGTTTATGGGTCAAAATAAAGCTTCTAATAAGAGGAACATGAATATGACTAGTTCAATTACAATAAAAATAGATGTATAGTATTAGTCTAGAAATAGATTCCAGCAGTTACCATTCATTATTCTCATCGGGATATAACATAACGTTTTCTGTTACCCTTAATACTATTCTCGTCACTTATTATGTGTTATAGGAATGTCTGCTAAGAGCATTTAGCATAATGATTTTCGGTTGAAATATGTTCCACAATCCAAACGATTTTCTTATCTGATCTTCAAGTGTTTTGTGTATGCTGTGCTTTAAATGTACTGAAACTCTTCCCTCCGTTTGACGACTGCGACAGCTTCGACTTCACGCTTCGTTAAATACTACTTACAAGAAATCTTGTGAGTAGTGTCTACCACACTACTACTGTTCTTACCAGTGCTTTAATATTCATCTTGTTAATTTCCCCCAGGTTCTACTTTATTTATGATTGACTGATTAACTGACTGAGTCAAATCATATAGAATCATTGATTTGGACATTCTTGTTTATCGCCAATGAAGAATGATTATATCTACTTGTAAATATCATCGCTGTTAAAAATAAATGACAGTGTGATATGGTTTATCAGATTAGGAACATTTACAAAAAGGTGTATGAAACATTCACTATCATTCAACAAGATTAATTATGTTATGATGAATTGTATGAGGTAAATACCATATATTGTATGTTGTCTTCATATGATAAAAATAATCTGAAGTGTTTATATCCTTATTAGATAACATGATTAAAAGATTTTTAGGGGACAATTTATATGATTTATAACTGTTTAATTGTCATTCATATTAAGGTTAATGGATCTTCAAAATATCTTTTATGTTAAGTTGGTTGTTTGAATTGAAATTCCTGTTGAGGATCAGATGCAGACGTAAAGTCGAGGATTGGCAAAGCAAGGGCCGCATTCCTACGATTGACGAACACATAGAACTCAAAACGACTTTCAACCAATATCAAATTCAGAATTTCCAACACGAACGTCAAGGCAGTTCTACTGTATGGAGCTGGAACTTGGAGAGCTACTATAACCATTATCAAGAAGGTACAAGTATTTATAAATAGCTGTCTACGCAAGATACTCAACATGCACTGGTCGGATACCATCAGCTGCATCCTTCTGTGGAAGCGAACAAACCAGCTTCCAGCTGAAGAAGAAAAAAACGATCGAAGTGGATGGGACATGCATTACGGAAATCATCAAACTGCATGACGATGCATGCCCTTAACATGGATTCCTGATGGAAAGCGTAAAAGAGGAAGGCCAAAGATTATATTACGTCGGGAAATATAAGCAGATGTGAAAAGGATGAATAGCAACTAGGAAGAACTGCCCAGAACAGGGTTGGATGGAGAATGCTGTTGAGAGCGGACTGTGCTCCTTCACGAGGAGTGACAGGCATAAGTAAGTAAGTACGTCTGTTACTCTCAATGGAGCATGGGTCACCGGCAAGTATATATGGGATGTTTAAATACAGCACTATAGGAGGAAGGAAATCAGTATTGATTCAAGATGAATTGTTTTTTGTTTTTGTTTTACATTAATTTACTCAGTACGAATGCTGTTCATGTACTTTCAATGCAGTTGTCGTAGACGATTTGTGTTCACTGATGATATCTTCGTTACTAAGTCATAATTATTGTAATCGACTCATTATAATTAATCATTTTAAGTATATTTTAAATTCTATTGGATCTTGGTTAGCAAGCATCTATATAACAACTGAACTTTTCACTCTAGTTAAAGTAGGAGAGAAGGAGAGGATAGTAAATAGTCTTGTTATAGTTGTAAAATCGTAGTTTAGTGCATGTGGACATCGATTTTTCACGTTGCTAGTTTTTTTTTATAGCTTGCTCCACTTATAAGGATTATATTATCCAATTGATTCTGTTATGTTTTATTACGGGATCTTATTAATCGATGAATATACTTTTACATGAGAGTTGTGCTCTGGGTAATTTTACTACTTATTGGTGAATAAGATCTTCTGGGCAAAGTATAAATTCTGTTCTCAACTGATGAACAAGGAGAAAGGTAATCAGATGCAGTTAGAATTGGTGATAATTAGTTTTGTGTATTGGCTGGTGCTATGTCAAACCCACATGGGTTATTCTATCTTCCTGACAGACTAATTTATTCGTTCGTCTTGAGCCGCTTTTTAACCTTGTGCCTGTTCTAATATGAGTGTGTTTATTAATCCCTTACTCTACTCACCACATATCTGTAACATATTTTTGTCTGACTATAAATATTGTGTCACGCTTGGTTGAATATTGTTGGCTCACTCTCCTTCTCCACTGCGCGTCATTTTATTTCAATTCGCTTCCTTCACTGCGTCTCCCTGATTGTCTGTTCAGATCAACGATTGTACGAAATGTGCGTATTCGAAATTCATCGCCGTATTTGACTTACCTAATTCTGTTATTCACTAACACGAGTTAAGTCGATGATTGTATACGAAGGTAACCAGGATGTATATTTAGAAACCAATCATCATGCGATTTAATTGGAGTCGGATAATAGTTCACTAAAGTTTACTTTGCTGGGATTACAACTGCGTTGTCTATCTTTCAGCATCGTTATTTTGTACAAGTTTCATTAGTAAGCTTGATACTAGATGATTCCTACACACTTTGAAATTCAAGAGGCTATATAAATCACGTTATTCTTTCACAATTATTACATTGTAATTTATAAGCTAGCAAAAATCTTGTCAAGAGTAAATCGGTAAAAGTAACATGTCTTGTTTGGTGTTACCGATTTACGCTTAACAAAACATAGCTTCCAAATGTCTGAGGGTGAAAAGAGTCGGCCCTCCTCCAAATGCTCTCATATGGTCATGCATATACAACCATTGCCAGGGATGTCCTACGCACTGCCTTCTCGTGACGGTAGTGTTGTTTTTGGAATTGAGAGGACGATAAGCGAATGTCTAGCACTTTAACAAGGTTTGTGGAAATGGGGGATCCGGCTAGGGGATTTGGAAAACCCAGAACCGAACCAATGATGCACATAGGCTCAAGTATCCTGAAGGAATAAATGGCGTATGAATCTATTGTTGACGACCGGCTACCATGAGAGTGGATCTCCTGACTAAGGAGGATCATCAAAGGAAATATGGGATACTTCAGTCACACATATCTTGTTAAAGTAGTTTCAGCGTATTTAGAGGAGAAGAAGTCGCTTCAGATTATCACTATTTTGACAGTGACGGGATTCCAGTGTGAATATAACCAATGCTTAGTGCAATGCCGAGATGAATCATATTACTTGTTTAACTTGTTCGTCTCTGTATTCTATTTTCCAACAACTGATGCAGTTTCAAGTTACTTAGTTTCTCAACATCAGAGACTCCAACCGACTGACCATACTGCCCCAACTTTGCACAATCATGTCATACCGCCTCACTGTACAAAGTTTAAGTTTCCGTATAAGTATCACAAACACGGCATACGTTTTCAATAATATACAATGACTACTGGTTTCTTGACAATATGATGTTTGAATAAGGAGATTAGCCTTTACAATTTCAAAGAGTAGTGTTTTAATTCTCTCTTACTACAACTCAGCTATTCCTGTTGCCTAATATTCTTGAACGCCAATTCACCGGACAAGTCTACAAATCAGAACACAGTTGGACAGGAAAGAGATTATATTCCAATAACAAGGTTAGATAGAAGTAATGAGCACAGTAGAGAAAACGTTAGTGTACTTATTGTTTTAACATGAGAAGATCATAGAGTGTTCTCCAAGTATCGACTAGCGCTGATTGGATAAGAATTAGCCGAAGCAATCGTGCACTAAGCATGATTTCATACAATTTATGTCCTGCTAACAGGGTAGTCAGACTAGCGGAGGTATACTCACTAGTAGTTTCATAGTCTTGTCAGTGTAAAACTGTATTATGAAATGTACAACTTCAAATTATAAACTTTTCCTGTTAATTTATTCATGGAATATTTGTTAAAATAAAATAGTATTTCTTTTATCCATCTAAAGTGAATTGGCTTTAATTGTACCGGATGTTGTTCATGATCCAACACTGCCTCGAACAGAAGATCATATATGTCGTCGATGCGGTAAACAAGAAGCTGTATTTTTTCAATCACAGACATTGAAAGCGGAAGAAAACATGCGTTTATATTATGTTTGTACCAACGTTGAATGTTTACATAAATGGACTGAATAGATATTGTACATATATATGCTATGAAAGGAAGTCCTGAATAAGAACTAAACTTGTAAAATAAGTATTACGAAAGTTTTGAATTTGAGTCATTTACATAGAACTTTACTTATGTTCTTATTGATGGTCACCTACCTAACACGGGAGATTCTCAATTTATTGACGTATTTTGATATGATGATGAAGAGAACCAATTGTTTTAAGCACAGTTGGCTCTTAAATCGATCGTTATCTCTAACCGCCTCTTTACATCTCGACATAATGCAAGCGATGTAGCGCCACCTAGACTAATTAGCCACATTTCAAATTTGCCGATAGGATTCGATTAACACGAAGAAGGACTTGAAAAACATGGCATTAGTCACTATCTAATGATCATTCAATTGTAAAAATCGTGTTATCATTGAGAAAACTGTACGCATGAAGTAGTTTATGCGTCAATGGTGTGTTTTTTATTGTAACATTAATTTCTTACCATGTTCATCAATTCGAAATTCAACCAATGTCAGAACTGATCTTTTAGTGTATAAGATGAAAGATGGTAGTCATCTTTCGGTGGTGCCAACATGGTTTGTGTAGGGTAGGTTCTAGATAATCTACTTGACATAAGCGTAGAATACTTACCAATTACTAACTGTTATCCTCAACACAAATTTCAAGGGGAAACTTATAACAATTACAAATTTATTCTTGTATAATCAATGATGGGTTTCTCACTCTCTGTTACATTGAAGGCATTTCATCGTGACACAAGACAATAGTTCCAAAGTAATATCAACTGTTTTCACAGTACTCATTTGAAAAGAAATTTATCAATCAATTTAGATGTTTTCTAGAATTCTGATATGCTTGGAAAGGTACGAAAATATCAGTTATTGGACGTTTCATTCCATTATAAACATCGTGCCAGTTAGTTTGGATGGAAATTAATAGAATTTCACAACTCAGTAATACATACGTTTATTTTGAGATAATCTTGATCACATAAGAATGTTTCGTAAAAAGAATATTAGAACGTAACACGATAATGATGGATAAGATACTAGTGTTTACCGTAAACAAGTAATAATTCAGAAACTTTTATGAGCAAGTTTACGGTTGAATACTCGTATGCTTATTTAACTCTTAAATGCCCCTAAGTGACCTGGTACGGCCGCGACTAGGAAGAATCAGCTCTTCGTCTCGAAATGCTCTCAAGTTTTCATGTCCATACAACCACTGCCAGGGAAGTCTTACACACTGCCTTCTCGTGTTGGGGATGTTGTTTACGAAATTAGGAAGACGAAAATCGAAAGTTCATCGCTTTAACCAAGTTGGTGGGCACGAAGAGTGCACCTGAGGAAGTTGGACAACTCTGATTCTGAAACAGTGGTGCACATGGGTTGGCTTCAGTGTCCTGAAGGAGAGAATGGTGCAAGAATCAGTCGTTGGTCACTAGTTACTATGGAACTGCATCTCCCAGTGTTGCTCCACTTGCTTGATGAATAAACCTTAAGGTGGAAGACTCCGAGTGTAGCCCTTTAAGAAAATTACATGCTTCGGTCTGGGTACCTGTGCAGTATCATAGCGCACACACAAATCAAGTTACGTTTGTGGCGCATATGTATTCGGTACCTCTTTTCACCAATATGTATGTGTTTAAATAATAATAATAATGAATAATATTAGCTGCTTACCACCACTCATATGCTTACAGTGTAATATTGAGCTATGATACGATGTGAAATAATTTACAATGATAACGGAAGACAATTACAATCACTTTTTCACAGTCGTCTGCTGGTTCACATGGTTTTAAGGACCAGTCTACATGTAGTTAGCTAACCGAACATGCTGGTGGAGTCATTATTATCTATGATTTCATCAGTTTTACACAAAATCATCTGCTGGTGTTTAGGACCAGTCTGCAAGAAGTTAGCTACCTACAGTCTGAAGGCTAGTTTTGAGTTTTCACAAAGGCTTGAAAGCTAAAATTTTCCTGATATACTCATGGTATCTTTCGACGTCACTACTCTCTTTATAATGATCATTATGGAATAAACAACCGGAATCGTATGTCAATATTCTGTACTCTTCATTTCCCAATTAATAATTCTGAGCAGCTGCCATTCTTGGGTACCAAAAGTAAACACTCGGTTCAACAATTTACTATACGGTCAAGTTGATAGAGTCTCCATGGGTAGGGCCGTGGACCCGATTCCGACTGATATATTTATGAAGAATTTGAGTTAGATAAAGCTTAAGCATGCAATTGATGGAACTAAACATTACTATAGATTAATGGATGACATATTTCTTAACCGCAAAGAGCAGTTGCATACTGTGTCCACTCAATCTGTTTAACTTAGCAGACAATCAATAAATAGTACAGTTGTACTTTTATTTACACAATTTCTCAAGATTTTATCACTAACAATCTAATGCAACTTACAAGTCTAAACTAATGCATTGGGGAATTTCCGTAGATGGAAATGATTAATATCCATTTAACCTAATGAGAACACGTACCACTTTACAGGTTGAAAATAGATTCGATACCTGAAGTTGGTGTTTTCTAAATTTGATGAAAACTTGTGACATTAAATGTATGAGTTGAATTCAATAAACATGTAAGTGGAATGAACAAGGACTCGTTCAATGAATGCACATAGACAACGGTTTAGTAGTTCGTCTAAAATAATTCAGCTTTTAATCGCTCTGCTAATCTGGATAAAAGTCTTGTAACGAGTATCCGCCTAGCGAAGACATTTATTTAGTGAAGAGTTTAGTGAGAGTTCGCAACCGTTTATTTATAATATAAAATGAATGAAAAGATAATATGAATAGGGGACGTTTCTCAGAAGTATTCAGTATACATTTGTAATGACTTCACTCTAAGTAACATTTTATGATAATGTTTAAAGATTGTGTAATTAGTTAATCCGACCAGCTATTACGTAGGATTCTATGTCACACTCATTATGACCACGTAGTATTCTGAAATATCCATTTTCACCCCAATCTTCATTCCACGAATTCGCTATCAACCAATAAGGAGTGTTTTTTTCCACACCCCATCCGATTATACGTATGGCATGTCCACCAACTGGTTCCCCAGTAATATGCTTATAGATCCCAGATTTGTAATTTAGAAAATCTTCGTAAACGTTGAAGGCTGATTCTACTGGTCCATACTTCATGATTTCCTTTTGAATAGACAATTCATTATCAGCAACATTATAGGATAATTTACCTAACAGATGAATAAAACGATGATGAAAATGAATCTGTTATCATTTAACAGAGAGCTTTCAAAAGTAATCTCAAAAATGATTATTACTCATGTAGAAGCATCATTTCTAAGCAACTCTGACAATATATTGTGATCAATCTATGTGAGTGACAAGTCAACGATTTCATGATAAATTGTTATCATTGTCTAAAATATTACCTACCTCGATGCTTGTCTTGGGAGTATGGGATCTTGTAACTTTTCTGACATGTCTGATTACAACGAGGAGCTTTGTACATTTTTTCACCGCATGCAGGATACTTCCCTTTAACATAATGCTCACATTTCGGGAATGGATATGGTTGACAGCCTGTGTGATTCTCTTTCGAACTTCCAGTAACAATACCTTCCTTCACCCAATAATCCCAAGCATGACCAAGGAATCCACCATCACACCCAAATCCGCAATCGCTACAACAGCTCATTAGATCCACAGCACTTAGTTCCACAGATTGTCTGCCACGTGACTGTATGCAGGTTCGATCACTCATGGCTTCGACAGCAGCGAAAGCCTGGAAAAAAGCAATGGCAACATCAAGACGTTTTAATTTTTGTAATGAATTTACGTGGAATGAGTGGTCAACATTTACTAGTTATCTGAGTTCAACATGACCTGTTTCGTCAATTATTTCAGTCACCTGACTTATGTTCACAGATGTGATACTCAACATTGACGTATGTGCTGTCATACAGCTTTCAAAGAAACAATTTCTCTAGATAATATGACTCTGATACTGTCTGACGTTCGGTGAGATCTCCTACAAAATCACTGATTTGTAGAAATATTCATAGTCATGCCAACATTGTATACATTTTTCAAATAGTGCGATCATTAAAACTCACCCAAGATGATCCACATCGTGATTGATCACGAATGGTCGCTATACTTTTACAACGAGGCCATTTCTTCCTTGAATCAAAACTTGATGGAATTTCTACACTCAAATCATTATGGTCAACTGTGGGACGTCTCTTCTTTCTTAATTCTGATTCCTCTCTTCTTGCACCCATCAGAATACGTGCGTCATCCAGTGAGTGGAAACGATTGCTTTTCTCAGCTTTCCATTCAGCATTTGGCTGAAGGATGAAAAAGTTGAAATCATAATTGAATGAGAAACAATTCTGACAATGTTGAACTAAAAATGGAATTCAAATATGAAGATTTAGATTTGTTCCTTTTTCAACTGTCAGTTGTTGTATTGAACTTAGATATATGAAATGAAATCAGTTTTAGGCCGATGGCGTACGAAACAATGTAACCTGTCATTTTAAATAACTTATAGATGAATTCTAGTTGTAAAGAGGAGGAATCATCTGATTGATTGCACATTCTCCTCAATCAAACCTCGTTTCGTACACAAGCTACTTACAACATAAAGTAGTGGATCTATTCTAATCCAACCGATCATACACAGTTAGAACGTAAATCATTTTACAATGTTCGCGATTTACAACATTACTACAAAAAAGAACCTACATGTTGATTAATATACGAGATGATGTCATCTGACAATGGTTCAAATCTTTCTTTCTTTATTGAAATATGAGCATCGAGAAGGGTTATCAATGAAGCGATACACAACACAGACGTAAGCATAACTAAAGAACTCTTGTGAATGTATTTCTTCGAACACAGCAATCATCATATAATCATTGTTTTATATATACTAAACTGAAATAGTGGACTTTGGGTTACAATGGTATGATAATATCACATTTATTATTTCACCCACTTCAGTTTTTTCGTTTACAATCAAATGTAACACTTCAATAGAGTTATGATTCAACATACAAATCATCACAGATCACTTCAGAATGTTGATCAAAGTTCTTATACACAATAAGATTACAAATGAAATAGTAATGGAAATGGAAATCTTGATTTCAAAGGTTAATTTGTCATACATTGCCATTACAGGTACTTGAAAAATAAGATAATCACAAATGTGTTTACTTATAATTTGTGCTTAGTGATAAGTTTTTTTATGATAAAACTGTCCATTTTGAATAAAAACGTTTCAGGTCGATTTAATTAAGCTTCATTTGTATAACCATTACATAGTCTTTAATTATAAGTTTTTGTTCTGTTGAGTTCAAAGTATAATGTGATAGGTTCGAGTTCCGGTTTTTCAATCAAGACAGTTCTGTATGTACGTTCATCTAGGAAATTCAAAATAGGATGAAACAACCATTCTAAATCTCACAATTGGTTACAATGTGTTTGTTATGAATAAAATCAGTTTATTATACTTCTCTAATGTAATTGTGGTGTAAGCTGATGTAAGTAGTATGTATTATCAATCGAAAGTGAAATGCTTGAAGGCAGAACGTTGTGAAGATCAAAGAAAAGGGAACGAGAACAGAGAAATATTGGTCTGGAAACGAAAGAACAGTGATGTTTGCGACAATTGATTGATATTTTGCAAATGAAATATTTACTGTATAGTTCTTAGATTTCATCAACTTACGCCTACCAGCACTCTTCATTCACCGGCAGTTACTCTGGAAGAGCTACAGTTGGAGTTAGATTTCATCAAGAGACCTATAATTTTATATTGAAGTACAGTCAGTTGTCCTCACTTGTTTATTCTCGTTCACTACACAATACTTGCCTGTCCTTTATCGGGACACACAAGTAGTCACAGTTCTGTAAATGCTATGCAGATAATTGAATGGACGATCGGCTTCGTATTTTGATGATGATTTTGTTTTGATATGTTGTATGAAGTCGGTTCGACGTAGTGAAAATAGCTATCGATTTCGAATCATCATCAATTGTGATTGTAGTTGCAAACCATCACAGCAAAATACTTTTTTCTGAAAACAATGTTGACGCAATCAGCTTCTACACATATGATGTAACTATATTATTGTGGAACGAGACTACCAATCACTGAATGCTTATTCATATCTGGCTTTCTATGGGTCCCTTATATGATGTTATTTGAACATGGAGTTCTAGCCAGGTTGCAACATAATCTTAAGTCCGAAAGAACAAAAGATAATACTACTTCACGTTGTGAGTTGGTGCTTAGCTACTAATTCGTCCCCAAATGCCCTGGTATGGCCGAGAGTGGGGAGAGTCGGCTCTCCCTCTCTAAATGCTCTCACATGGCCACGTGCATACAACCACTACCAGAGAACTCCTACTCGCTGCCTTCTCGCGGCGTAACTGTTGTTTACGTAATTAACAGAACGAAAAGTGGATATCCGGCGCTTTAACAGGGTTCGTGGACACAGAGAGTCCACGTAAGGAAGTTGGAAAACACTGATTCCAAGCCAATGGTGCATATGAGATTCAGTATCAGTCAATCATTGGTAACTGGCTACCATGGGACTGTATCTCTTGACGTTGCTCCACTGCGACGTAGATCAGAAATTTGGGTCGACGGCTCCTTTTGTGGTCCTGTAAGGAAATCACCTGCCTCGGTTTAAGCATCCGGATGATATATCTTTCTGGTACCTCCTTCTACTAATGTTTATGTGTTTAAATAAATAAATCAATAGCTTCAATTCAAGGCATAATTTCAATCACAAATATCACACATTTCATTGAAATCAATCGAAGTTGAATTTTCCGAAAATGTAGATGGTTCCTTCTCGCTAGTGCTTAAAACTAATCTTTCACAAATGAACGAACAAACAGTGCAGATGTAATGTTATATCCATTCATTCAATCATAACTTTACACCAGAAGAAACAATTGAATGTAGAATGTAATGACTTCATAAACACTAAGTAATTGGGACTTAATCATTATTTGTAAGATTATTCGTATGAATAATGACGAACAATAAAATAGTATTCTCAACAATAAACCACAGCATACTGGTGATTAGCTGTACTTGAAACTGAACAACGGTTATACACATCACTTTGTACTCGTTTTGTAGATGTTCATCAACACACAAAACAACACAACTACAAGGAAATATTTACTTTCAGACTGAAATCAAGTAAACCAGCTCACTAATTGATTAGTTATCACGTTTTTCTAACAGACAATTTAACTAAGAGGCAACAGGTTTCGACACTATTTTTCGACGCCTTTATTTATATATGCTGATTGAATGTTTCTCGATTATTTTGGTTTTATTGTTTTCGTATTACCCTGATTCGAAGCTTTTATTTGAATCATAAATTGTTTCTATGGCGTTTTTCAATTATAAACTAGCATCGATTGCTTATATTCACACCACTTCATTGTTTCCATGATCAAGCTTGTTGTTTTTATTGCTTTGTAATACTGGTACTTAATAGGTCTACTGAATGGTCAGGTCATGTATGTAGATAAATAAATGTTTGAGATGGGATAACGATTTTGTACCGGTGATCATTGGGCTTGTATTCTTCCTCTTCGTTTAGGGACAGTTAGAGTCGAGCTAATTGTCAAGCATAGATTGTCATTCACGATAGTTGTGGTCGCGTGTTATTCGCCTAATGTCATCTACTTCTGTTGGTCAGTTGTAAGACATAACACAAGTATCTTTTAATACTAATTAACTAGTAGGAATCATTCACTGTAGTTCAGCTATAACGTGAATATTATCAGTTATCATACATTTATACGCTAGTTTTAAAGCGCATTGTGGTAAAACGCTGTTCAATGAGTTCAGTTAAAAATTACATGAAATAATGTAAAATGAAATCCGGCATCTTAATTATATTCCATCTTCAGTATTGTATCACGCTGAATAACTCAACCTTCTTTTACTACACACATTTGGATTGAGACAATGGAAATATTTTCGGTAATGAGCATGATGAAGACGTTCTGACGTTTTGACAAAGAAGTGTAACTGCCAGCCTGAAATGGAAATATTCCATTTAGTTGATTCTATATCGTGTCAGGAATGTTGTTGAGTATGATATATTTACTATTGTCAAATCTTTTAAGCAACAGAAATGGTTGTGAATTAGTAATGTTTAGACGTAAGTCGGATTTTCTCGAATAATGTTAATATCTGATTTGATATACAATTAATCATCTCGTGATGTACTCGCTATGAAGACTTGATCACACAACTTATTGAAGAGATATGTGTCTTATCAATTAGGACATATTTTATTGGGTGGACGAAACGATTTACGTTAGACGCTCATTCAAAACGTGCGAGTATCTGATGGCCGCATCAGCCTGGTGTGAATTTATTGTGAAGTTGACAAATGGTCTGCAGATTAAGCATTCGTACACATAGACGAAGGTGTTGGATTTAATTATTGGAGGAAGATTAATAAATGAGAATCCCACAATGACCGCAGTTAATTGAGTATAGTCATGCTCACTTGTTATTAGAAATGAACTAGTAACTTGATACCAATCAGTAGTAATGAGCGATGCGCAAAAACGCGTTGGATTGTTATACAACGTCTGTTCAAAAGAAAATACCTTCACAACATTTATCACATTAGTCATTTATCATTTCAATCACGATAAGGTGAGACAAAGTGCATGTCATTTTTGAAAACTCGTGGTCCCTCTTAATGTCCGATTTCACTTAATTGTCGAAACTCTAATTTATGGGTGGGCCAATCAGGGGGGTTTTAGAAATTTCAAGGTTACCGCGCCAACTTCAGTGCTTAGTGCTAACGTACGTTCGGTTCATAGGGAATTTTGTACAAAACGTGATAATTGAGCGGATATAACAAATAAAACGGCGAGACTGTAATGTGTGGACGAATCAATCGGGTATAAGATAACAGATTTCGGATATTTACGCGAGAGCCCTTCATCGATTTGGCTAAATAAAGTTTTGGCATTATAATTGATATCAGTTCGTGATGACAACAATGATAATTACAGTAATAATATATGTAGTGATGGAAGCATAAATGAAACATTAAATTCGTCTTTGAAACCATTCATAGTATAACAACTATCCCACAACCGATTTCTATTATGGTTAATTTTGATTAAGTCCTTTTATTAACTTTCTTAACAGACAATGTTACTTGAATAGTAGCAGTTCACATATTTCTTTATACCGTCATCATCACCAGATCACATGACGGACCCTAGCTAAAATGTTGATCGCTTAAATGTCACTCGACGGTTCATTCTCTTCCTCAAATTCGTTCGATGTGCTTATGGCTTTGTCATCTGCGCTAAACTCTTACAAACTGTAGATGCGGCTTCTTATTACCTTCGGATTTCAAAGAGCGTTGGAATTTTTTTGATAACGGTTATCGAGGTGACTGATTAACGAAGATAGGACACGAAATTGGAATAAGCTTTCTTAGTGTCCTTGTATGATAGGCTACGTGAATCACAATGAAAAGGAATTCTAGACTTACTGTTCCTTACAAACATATTAACATGGATCTTTAACATTCGGGCTGAAGGAAAGCATGATGTATCGGGCCCTGATTCACCTGTAGCGACTAAATGAGAATTTTATGCACATAAACCGAGATTAGATTCGACAAATTTTAAAACCACTTAATATTTCTATTAATAAAAAGCTTCTCAGTTTAGTCGTTTCCATGTGCATCGACCAGTTCACTTTTTCCTGTGGAAGAAGCCGCCAGATGTTACAAGTAATAATGATCCAAAGCAACGAGATTGAGTACGCAGTATCCTAACCAATTCCTGGGTATGTGTATAGTTATTGTTTTTGTTTTTCCGTTGATTTAGTAAAAATTGAACAGTCTAGATAGGTACGTGGATCTGAAATGAGAT